AAACTGGACTAAATTAAATATGCACCAGAAAGGGAAATATTATGATAAATTTGTACACAACCAGATAAGATGAAATGATGGCATATGCTCATGACAACCCGCTGTAGATGTTCTGAATAAGACAGGCATATATAGTAGGAGGATCCATTTGGCAAAAACCCCATAAACTGTAAGAGCTATTTATTCTAAAATAAATGCAGGGAAGAGATAATTCTAGAAATGAAAGGACCGTACAATTAGAACAACTACTCATCTAAATACCTTAAGAATCAAGGGAATGTTTAATGCAAATACTAATGTAGAAAGAAATAAATGACGCCAATAATTTGGCATATCATTATTGTACTGCAAGATGAAGCGACAAAGTAGAGTGATCGTGGTCATTCCATAGTTGTCTATCAATGACAAACTCTGACTGCACAAAGTCCTTTATAAATCAATTAGCAAACTCTTGTTTCGTTTTTATAAGGTACTTTTCAAGTGTATAAAAAAGTCCTCTATTGCAAGGAAGCATGGCACACAATTCAGGCGGGCATGCCTGCTGATCATACGAAGCATTACTCTTCTAGCATTTTGTTAGCATGACCGAATAGTCCGGACAAAAGATGGCAAAATTCACAGAAATCTTTGTCACAAAGGATACACACTTTACCTATATATTGTAACCCATAAGCGTAACATGTTCTGTAATTTAAAGAGAAAATTCCTTATTTGACACTGTTTTAAAATCTGGTTCCTTATTTGACATTGGAAAAGTTTTTCTTCCCTATTTGACTCTAATCCTAAATTTTATTCCCTATACGACACTTCCGTCCATTTTGAGCCTAAATGACACCTGAAAAGATGATTTTGCCCCTTATGCGGTATGTGTGTGTGCGCGCGTGTGTGTTGTTGCATGTGTGGGTGCACGCGCACATGTGTCATTACTAGGAAAAGGGCTATAGATAGGATTGACATTAATAGCGCACCAGGAAAGTAGTGCACCACTACTATATACTAATGGCGCATCAGTTGGTGATGCGCCATTAGTATGGAAGACACTAATGGCGCACCAGAAAATTGGTGCGCCACTAGTGATAAATTTTATTTTTTTCATTTTTACATACATACTAATGGCGCATCCTACCTCTGGTGCGCCATTACTAGTTCTAACTAGTAATGGCGCACCAGACATGGAGTGCGCCAGCACTGAATTTTTTTTATTCTTTTTTTTGCAAAACTACTAATGGCGCACCGTCTCACAGTGCGTCATTACTAGTTTAAACTACTAATAGCGCACCCTCTAGAAGTGCGCCATTAGTATATATTTTGATATTATGAATATTTTTAAATATTATGGGCACTTTTTGATATCATGAATATTTTTAAATTTCATGGGCACTTTTTGAATTCATGAATATTTTTTCAAATTTGATGATATTTTTTCATATTCAATATGATAAAATATTGAATATTTATGAGGACACTCGATCTCGATCCCCCTCCATCTTGATCTCGATTCCCCCTCCATCTCGATCTCGATCCCACCCGCGCCTCCTCTCCCCTTTTCATTTTAAAAAAATAATAAAAAAAAGTGTAGACTACAATTGTTGTTAAACAACAATTATTACTATTTTTATAAAAAAATATTACTGTTTCATATTCATATTCATTTTCTAAAAAATTATTACATGCAACAAAAAAAATTACTTATGGCGCACCTCTGGCTGGTGCGCCATTGCTATATATAAAAAAAAGATTACTAATGGCGTACCTCTGCCCGGTGCGCCATTGCTATGTAAAAAAAAAGATTACTAATGGTGCACCGACCGCTGGTGCGCCATTAGTAAGATTCCCCCTAGCTAATTCCCTCCCTCTCGCCAGATCCCCTTCATCCCTCTCCCTCACCCCCTAACTAATTCCCCCCGCTGCCCCGACCCACGCCGCCGCCGAC